CAACTGTTACGAACAGCTAATTCCAAGTAGATGTTTCGAAAATTCTGCGCATCAAATCGCTTACATATTAAATTGTGTAAAGCCAAAGTGGGAAAAAAGTTTTCTTTTAAAAAGACTGTCAAATTCTTTAGCAAATAACACATTTGAAGATTGAAAATATCGCCAAATAGTACGTCGATAGAAATAAATGAAATAAAAGAAATCGAAGAGGAAATTAAGCAAATCAAAATTATTATAAAATAGGTATCCATCAAACTTTTATATTTAATCGATCGCTTTTTGAAATAGCAAAAAATACGAAATTGTGTCAGCGATTTTCTCCTACCTGAAATAATCATTCCACCAAAGAGATAAATATAAATTTTGTTTACGTAGAGGATAATTAAAAAGGTGAAAGTAATACGATCTAAATCCGTACAATGATTATTATTCATTTGTATTATTGAATAGAATAATATTAAAAAGAATTTATATCACCCTAATTTCTATACTATTTAAAGTAGAAATGTTTGAGTTAACCATTACTATCACTTATGATTTTGTTTGCTTATAAAACTCATGGATATCTCTTATCAAATCAATCGCTCTACTTCTAAATTTTCATTGATAAGTGATAATCATATTTTTTAGCTGAAAATATGATTATCACTTATTCTTAAAGTAATTCCATGTAACCAACGAACCGTTTGAATGAAATGAAAATTTTTGAATCTATTCGAAAAAGCTAATCTTTAATTTATAGATCGATTTAAAGTCTTTTTCTCCTGATATTATCAATTAAAAAATTTTTTAACTTAAATTTTAAAGGTAGCCAAATGAACAATAACTTATTTACTTTAATAGCTAAAATGTTTGGCTTAATTTTAAGTTTAAATTCCATATATGAACTTAATTTTTTAAAGTTAACCACTAACATGAATGAATTTAGTTGCTAATTTATATAATTGCATTCGCATATATTTAGCAAATCTATTAGTGAAGTCTATCAGTGAAGATATTCGTTCTGCAAATCTGTGGAAAAATATTTATAAGTGAGACTTTTATTATAGAAATGAAATTTTTAGCCATTTCTATTTCAGTGTTTCCTGTTAACGTGAATTATTGAAATTACCCATTTCTAATATAAAATAATTTATTTTCAATTTAGGATAGCAATGGATAAATGATAGAAGTAAGAGAAGACTATGAAATTAATTTATTGAATATGTTCACTACCGTAATTACATACTTATGTATTATCAATGCTGCAGATGGACATCCATAACCATTCAGATTAAAACGATACACACTAAGTAACATATACATTTTCTTTACTTCCCATCCATAAAATTAATTATATCAATTATCAACTCACTTATCATCCGTACTATATAATGGATAATTTTTGAAATTCTGATTTAATCATTAATTGAAGTTTTAATTTCAATTATGATCAACTCAAGCGTATTTTATCTTCCATCTTAATAATCAATGAAATGGTGCTTCGGAAGTATGCCGCATTAAATCGAGGATGTATTATGTAAAATACCAAAATAATCCAAAAGCGTCCTTGAGAGGGAATTTAATTACCAATAATGGATAGTACAATGAGAGGCAAAGAGAGAGAGAGAGAGAGATAGTCCTCTGTAGTTACATATCGATGGTGTATGTTAATCATCTTTCGTCTTCCTGTAATATAAAATGCTTTACTGATTGGTCATTTAAAGAAAGCGGTATGTTTAATCCAAAATTGGACTGCTGAAGATGAAGTTGAATGAAGGATTTAAAATTATCAGAAGTAACTTTTAAAAAGAGTTTTTAATAATCGATACTTGTAGAGGGACATAGTTACTAACTGGAATCAATCTTGTAACCTTGGGTGAATTCTGAGTTAATATGAATTAATAGCTCTTATAAAGTGAACTCATTGTTTTACGTATTGAGAGATCATTTCTGAATTATGCCAATGATGTAAAAACCGCTAGTTACGTGGAATTACGTAAAAACCGCCAAAACCCCTCAATCAATCAAGCAAATCAAGGTGAAAACATGAAACAGACCAATCGAAAGTTTTATATGCATATAATTGCGCACTAACTAATGTATTCTTTCTGTACATGACATAAAGTACCAACTTGGCATACCATATTTAAGAGGCTACATGAAGTTGTTGCATTTTTAAACTAAAATTTGCATAAAAAGTAAATCAACAATTGTTCCCATCTCCATTTATCTACCTAGTTTGTTCCAGGTTACAGTACCATCCTATTCCGCATCACAAAATTATAAATTCAATAATAGCAAAATATGCTGCTATTCAAACTTCCAGCAAACTAATTAATGGCTATTCACACTAACCAAAGCTAAATTGAAGTGTTACTTGACATTTGACACTGCAATATTCGAAAGTAAGAAATTCGAAAATAAAATATTCGAAAACAAAAAATTCGCTGTACCTAAAATGGTCTTGACATTTTCTTACAGCACATTTAATGCTATTTTCACTCACAAAAATGCGATTATAGCGAGAGTTCATGTGGATTAATCCGAAATTAATCATCCTATAATCCATTTCAATCAGAAGAAATGAATGTCACGTAGGAGTTGAAGTAAAAAAATGAATGCTATCAAAATAATCAAAAATAGATAAGTCTTTCTATACTTCTCTATTTTTTAAATTCAAAAATGGAAGTTAGAGAGTTATCTTCTTTTTGTTGTATGTCATAGAAATAGCTTAAATTAATTAGTCTGAGCAATTTACTAATCGTTTGTACTATTATTATCTATTGATTTCGAGCCCCCACATAATCTGTTCAACATCTCATGATCTAATATATATTTTTGCTGATATTTTTTAACACAGAACCAAACAAGAATTCAGGATTAAATAATGCATTCTTTTTCATACAATTTACTTTACTATGATCAGTTTTATTTAATTTAAGTCATATTATGTATAATTCTTAGAATATATTGATGATGCTTCTTAATAATGACTGATGAATAAATCTTCCAGCCCATCTGTCATTAAAAAGAATTATATTTACATTAGAGTGTAAACATTTTCAAATTTTCAATGGATATATCGTTTGCTTAACACAACAGCGATCGGAAACAGTAAATATATCTTTAGCGAAGTAAATATTAGATTTAAATTAAATCCGACATTTTTATTTCTATTTCTAATTAGTATCTTCAATTAAAAATCCATTATAAATTTCTATTATTCTATCTTCCATTTTCCATTAGCAAAGCAAAGTTAATTGTCTAATAATAATCTTTTAATTTCAATTTATTTCATTCATCTTCTTTCCTCTGCAAATTCCATCCTTTCTTCTATCACAACTTCCATTCTTATTTCTTGCGATCGCTTCACATATCATCTGTCTTCATCACTTTTAATTTCATTTTTCCTATTTAATTTTCTTTTGTTGTAAATTTTGTACATTCTAATCTATATGCAAGATATACACTATAGTGCACATTTCCGATCATTAAGCTGATGTGATTAATAAATTTTCTTCGCCAACTTTAATATTTTAATTGTTTATTTAAGTATAATAAAAATCAAATTAAATCCATGAGTATTTCAGGTATCTTAATCTATCTAATTTAAAATTTAAATTTTATATCAATCTGCAATCACTAAACTTTAATCATTAAACTGATTGAATAGAATGAAATAAATTTAAAACAATTGCTTTCATAATAGTGTATACCTTTGACTACTCCGGAAATCGATTTATACGACAGAAACTGCAAGATATCTCAAGAATATTATCAAATGGACCAAAATTAGTGTTTTCTGATTACCAAGTAAGGTTGATGAATCAATCAAAACTACCAATAATCAAATGATTGCCAAGTGCTACAATGAATTTCAAAAGATTATGGACATTTCAGCTCTGATTACATTAAGAATAAACAGTAACAAAAAACTAACAATTTATATGATTCATATTGTCCAGCAGAAGATTGAAAATTGGCAAATAGTGAAATAAAGTAATCAGAGATATTATGAAGTAAGTACAAATTGCTTTCTCTAATATCAACTATTGCTAATATGATTTGAATTCTGATATTCATATTAATGCCTATATTGATTATGTGATTTTTTAGACAAGCGATTGAATAAATAATTCATTCAAGAAATAAACAAAGTTTAATAATTGGCAATGAAAATAAATGAAAATTAATTATTGAAAGGGATTCTGTCACAATTATGAATTGATATTTTGAATGATTGCAATTGCATTTACTTTCAAATTACACTATTTCATATGAATGTGAATTACATGAATAAGAATTACATGAATTATTATTAGAATTATATGAATGTGAATTACATGAATTACACTATATTATTTCATGTAAAGGTAATAGAATTCATTATAAAAGGGATATTACTATTTTCACATTCATCATATTAACAATATTTTTCAAGAAATTTGTCACACATATTACTCAACTCTTATGTATACAGTTCAGATTTTATTCACATTATTAGTCAATGTATTACTTTCCTCATATATTACTCATCTCTTTTGCATACAGTTCAATTCAAGTTTTGTTAAAATTCCACTTAAGTGGAACCCAATGTTTTCCTCAAAAAATTACTCATCAATTTATACAATATTTTTCTTCTTGACATTTCAAGAGTAAATGATATTAAAGATCGGCCATTTTCTCTCTTTCCTAAATAATCTTTGCCTACTCTATCCTGTTCTTTTCATTGCAAAATAGCGTGCTACGAGCTAAGTGAACCAATAGCGCATATTTAAGATTCAATTTACCCCTCAACTGAATCATATTCTCATCATTAGCTATCATCGCTGTGTTGAATTGAGAACGGCTGGACAATATGATATAAAATTCGGACTAGATCCTTTAAGCAACGTAATGTCGGTGCAGATCTGTGCACAATTTTTTGAATCACAAGAACAAGGAAACGTGATACACTAAATGTAGAAGGTTGATGAATGTATTTTTGCATCAGATCCAAATTAATGTGTAATTTGCAGATGTTTCATCTGGTATTGTGGTTTTCGGCGTTTGTGATCATATCCAAAAACTCTGCTAAGATAATGCAATTCGGCAGAGAAGCACAGAGCAACGTGAATGATCCAGAAATACAGGTAGATTGCTTATTATAAATATCAATATGTTTATTTCCGAAAATGAAAGGAGATATCAACATTTATTCTCTCCAGGAAATAGCAGAAAAGGCGTTGGAAAAAGTGAACATGAAGATGAACTATAGAAATCTCTATAAATTGGTGAAAGTTATAAATGCTCGTACCCAAACGATAGCAGGAATGAAATACTATCTCACAATCCTCGCTGCACCGACCACTTGCAGAAAAGTGGGGTCTCTAAGTTTTATTTATTTGAATATTGTGGAAATATATGAGAATCTTACAAATACGGAGCTCTAACCTTTTTTTACTGATTAGCATCATCGCTTATCCTCTCTAAAACAACTTTCCTTTCAGTAAAAGGTTTGAGGCAAAAACCATATAGGCTATTATAAACCCTGAAAAAAGGTAACAAATATCTCAATTGCTGTGCTCAGACACAACAGTAGCCTTTTATATCTTGTGACCACGATCACGAATAAGGTGTTTCGTGCTTATTTTTGAAAACTATTTATTTTATAGAGCTCTAAAAATGTGAATGCAGCGAACTGTGTCATCGATAAGAGTAAACCGGAAAAGGTAAAATATGTACTACTCAAATTTTTGTGTTATCGCCACTTTTGAAAATTTGGTAACTTCCAAAAATGAAGATTTCATTCTCAGCTTTACCTTCCCGATCATTTCCTACTTATAAATTGATTTATCAATACAACAAAAAATGGACCGCAGTGCCAAAAATTTCAACAAATGACGAAACATAGGCAATTTTTCATCCCAGCTATAAATATATGAGTTTAACATGGCATTATTTCTTAATTGATGAAGTTACAAGTTTTTTCAGAAATTCAAAATAGAAGTTTGGTCAGCACCATGGCAAAACATATTCGAAGTCACTTTGATATGAGCTTCATTGAGAGTAATTGCGCTCGTGCGTCATATGATGTTTCATAAATAACAGATGTAAAAATTAAAGAGAAAATACATCACTTCGGCCTTGCTTCTACATCTGTAATCTTCCTCACTACAACTGTACTTTCGGGTTCCGGATTAGGGCGCTCTTTTAATTCATTCATATACGACGCTGCGATTGCTAACTGTGTTCCGGTTGCATTGAATGAAACGCTCATGATGCCCGTTGGAAACCGGAAAAAAAGGAACTTAGATTATGTTTCATGTACTGAAAATTATTCCATAAACGAATGAATTTAACATAGTAACCAAACTTTGATAACTAAATATTTAAACGAACTTATGCAGTTGACATATTCGTTTCCTGTTAAATGGGTCCCAAATATTTACAAGTGCATCTGAACCTGAAAACAAGAGTATTGTACATCGTTTATTTTTTATATTAGTCATTAGACTCATTTTTTTTTACAATATAAAAATTTCGTCCATATTTACAAACTGCAATATACCTCCAGTAACAAAGGTGTTATGTATGGGATGAAAATCGATGCAGTTTACGGGATATATCATTTCGGTACCAGATTCGTCCTTTTCACGGTGGCATTTAAAAGCATATTTGTTTTTCTGAACTTCTGCTGACATATCGAAATACTCCACCGCCACACGCCCTTCAATAGAAGCAACAACAAAAGCTTCGCCAGTTGGAAAGCATTTCACAGCTCGTGTTTGAAACTGGAAAGGGAAAACTTTAAAATAATCTTTTTATGCCATAGTAAAGAGCCAAACTTTACATATAAAAAATAACATACTTTTAGAAACGAATTACAAAAACACAAATCTTCCTACCAACCGAAATGAATTACTACTACCAGTGAAATCAAAAAATAAGTAGTAAAAACACCTTGAGTGGACTATCACGTATCTGCTCAGGTTCACCAAGATTGCGCACATCCCACACAATTATTTTACGATCTTTTGTACCAATAAGAATCCTATTCCCGTGTACATCCATTGCATAAACTTTATCACCATTATTTCCAAATCCAGCTGAACTTTTTGACCGTGCATCCCATAACTGAAAACATAACACTCATATAGAACCTTCCAGCCAACAGTCAATACGGTTCACTCTTTGGTCTGCTTATATTTTCCTTTTAATAAATCTCGAACCTTCTTTATTGTTGTTTTTAGTTTCTCCTATTTGATTATATGCTCAACAATAAATGTTTATGACCCCATTTTCTTTGATATGCAGCGTATTTAATAGCCACTTACCATCACTGCAGAATCCCATCCTCCTGAAGCCACCAAATTGTGTTCCTTGCAATATTCTAGACACCGCACAGGAGCTTCGTGATGTCCAAGAATACATTCTGCACCACTCTCCATGTTGTATGTTTTTATTAAATTATCCAGACCGCCACTCGCAATATCATTTCTGGTCTTCAAAAAACAAAGCCTTCATTGGACAAACAAAATTGTCGATTAAAAATGTTAATTAATAATTGAGTTTTAGCTGAAACTAGGTAAAATTCCGCAAATTAAAATGCATTGGAATTCAGTTCTTCGCTCAAACGATCGCTAAATTACGTACCAGACCCCTGCTGTATATCACTGGTAAATCAAAAGTGAAATAACTCACGAAGAAAGTGCATGCTAAGACGGGCTTGGCATGTGTATATACTCGTTTCTCAAGTGCAGTGACTGGACCAGCAGGAAAATGATAAATGCGAACAGTACCTTCCCAGCTTGACACTGCAAGCAGCTGACCATTGTCATCTGGTGAAAACTGAAATAACAGTTTAAAACAACACATTCTAATTAAAACTTTCTCTTTGGCAATTGGAAGGATCCCAGAAATAGGAAAATGAGATATGTGAAACAATGAACCCATTAGAAGTATGTCGGACCTCAATCTATGAAAGAATCAGCCCACTTTTCAATGGTGGTGCCGCCGCACAATGAATGATGAACAGAGAAGTGCCAAATCAGGCAATCTTCCTCATTTGAGATGTCGACTCAGGACCACTGTCCTTAACGATCATTAGAGTTGCAATCTCGGGTTATATAAAACTCCTGCCCCCTCAACATAACTAAACGTTCCGTTGATGTAAAAAATGTTCAAGCAAGACGTGTAGTTCGGTAAATTTAAACAGATTTTCGTGTTTCGCAAAATCTTGAGCGAAACGAATCAAAAATAAATTTTCGAAGTTCAAAGTTTCGCAATAGAACAAGTGGTGATAGATACCTAAAACACAAAAAAGATAATTACCTGTACTTTCGAGATTTGCGTATTACTTGGATGTGGAATTGTTCCCTCTGTCGAGCCACCAGCAAAATGAAACATTCTTATTCAATATCAGTCAATTTGCTCCCTTAAAAAAAAAGACACTCTCGGTAAAGTATCGAGATACACCGGTGACGCACAGAAAAATCGCGCCACGTTCAAGCTTTAAATCAGCAAAACTACCGTATGCATGTCAACTCTTCGTTTTATTTTCTGTCAAGTATTGCAGCTCTCTTGGATGCATTTTAAATATAAGTGGTAGGAGTGAATATGTCTGTAGTACAGTTGGGATGAGCGGAAGGATTTCAAGTGATATTCCTAACTTTTCCTTAAATACGGTTGGCAATAAGGCAACTAAGGAACTGTATCGATCACTACTACATTGAAAAGCATGTGAAAAATGAAGAAAACAGACCAAATAAATATGAATATGTCTGTATAATAATTAATAATAATAATTACATGATAATGGTTAAAACAATGAATGTATTATTTAGAGACAATCAGATTAAACAAATTGATAACTCAAAGACAATCAGATTAAAAGAACAATCAAATTGATAATTCTTTTCGAATAATTTTCTTGCCCTCTTTTCTGTTAAAGAATGGAGAATGTTTAATTATATTAAAATGATAAGTTCAAATATATCTCATAACTGAACAAATGATTACACATAAAACATACAGTTATGCTTCTATTGTGATACATACACCCCGTATAACCCTGTATACAATAATCATATGAGTTGTTACAATTCTTTTATTATTTATAGTGCGAAGAAATTTGCATATGATAATTTCTCCTTATACCCAATTGGTATCTTTTATTACAAGAGAATATTGTCTTGCACGCATTGTTCCATTTAGTCGTATTGAAGGTTGGTTAGTTGGTGTCTACGGTCGAACGTTTGATTGGGAAAGAGGGGTGAGAAGGGATAATCACGTGGCTGATGTGTTTAGCGCGTAACAAATAATTGTATACTAATTTTTTAGTAATTATTTTAATTAATGAGTTTAATCATTATTTATTTATCCCTCACTCTTTCAATCTATCATTAAAAAAAAAAGTATTTATCTCTCCCTCTTCCTCAAAAGTAAACGTGATAAGTATGAATTGAAATAAACAGATTAAGATTGATAAGAAATTCCTGAATATTTTCTCTTTTAAAAAAAAATTGAAAATAGGTAACTGTAATGTTAATATTATCTTACCAATTTACAGGTAAGATGAGTTTTTTAACTTTTTCTAAGGAAAAACAATTTGTATGAAATTGTCGTTGCGATTGCGATCGCAAAATATATGAAATTGAATTTAAAGAAAACAGCGAATAAACAAGAGGAAGAACTTTCCCACAATTATATAATTTCGCGTCTACACTTTCTAATTCATTAGAATCTCAATTTATGTTAGCGATAACTGCGCTTTTCTTACAAAAGAACTTTTCCACAGTTTAAGGTGTATAGATTGAATTCTTTAAAGTTTAAGATGTATAGGTATTTGCGAAAAAAAAATCAATAATTTGATCCTTCAAAATTTTCGACAAATTTAAAATGTGTAGATTGAATTATAGACTGAATTTTCTACTTGATCATCTAAAGAATGATTTCATAAATCCAAGCTAATTCCTGAAAACAGAATTTTATAACTGTGATGTTTGTGTGAAGTTAAAGCATGGTTATTATTCGTATAAAAAATTGACAAAATCTTTGCAGGTTCACCGGATCGCTAAACTACAAAAAAAGCGATGTCGGAAGAGCCTATAAAAGTGGTTAATTTTGATGGTTTTATTAGCCATGTTAGTGATAGTGGTGAAGATTCGGAAGTTATTGTTTATGTGGCGCACGTTGTTAGCGACGATTCCAGAATGCGAGGAGGAAGCGAAATGGGTGTAACACAGGATTTATGTCATGTTAACAACAACGACAATGATTATGGTATCGATATTTTCAAAATTTACTTTTAGTATCTTCTACAGTAACAGTAATTTGATTTGTCAAATTATCGTTGAGAAACAGCCTATGTTTGGATATCGTTGAAGCGGAAAATAAAGCTTTCGAATGCTTATCACTCTTTACATAGAACAACTGGTTTTCCCATGAGGTTTTCATTATTTAATTAGGAGAAAAATAATATTTCCAGGTAATATGTTTACAATTCGTGTTGGTAAGTGTGTGGAGCGTGTTGCTGCAAGAGATATTTCAGAAAACGAAGGGTTAACAAAGGTTAATTACATTGATAAGTTTTATCAAATGGATTGTGATAAAAGTATGGATATAAAGGCTTGGTATCTTTTTTATTGTTGAAAATTTTGGGTAATTATTTTCATGGAAAACTTTTCAAGTATATGAATTCTTAAATAGCAAAAAACGTTTCATTATCAATTGAGAATTTTCGCTAAACATAAATCTTACTTTTTCCGTTAACCTCACCATGGAATTATAACAATTGAGGAAGTTGCATAACATATTGTATCTATTTAAGGTTCGTTTAATTGATAAAGGAATTGATATTGAAGTGGACCGAAATACATTATTTCCATCGACTTCACGAGTAAAAATTAACAATGATTGTATGTGTCCCATTTTGGTTGTGGATGCTGGTGAAGAACAGAAAGAAGTTGCAGCGCAAATTACTGGACGTGAATGTCGCTGCATTAACGGTTTAATTTCCTTAATATCAAAACCATCCGCTTAAACTCATTCACTAGCTACTGGTAATTGAAACTCATTTATATAACTTTAATAATTTCAGGACATAGAAATATTGAATTTAATCTGCAGGTAATTTGGTCGTGATTCCATCTGTGGGATTTTGTGTTAAAGGTCGATTACTGATTTCTTATGGAAATGGTGGATACGCAGAATTGAAAGATATTAGTCTGATGCCAGCAGTAGGACAAGAAGAACAAGATTACTCAAGATTTGCAGTGGAGGGTACTTTTGTATATTGGTTCTCCAAAATATTCACATAAATCAACAGTTTTACTTTTTGTATTAATGAAACAGAATTAACAGATATGCCACAGCCGAATGCCAATATGTCACCACCGATAGAACCTACAAGACCCTTTCGCTATCGTTGTAATTCGATCACATGCCGCAGAAATTATTTTGGTAATAATAGTGGAAGATATGAACGAGAAGGTTATTCTTAAAATCCTTGAAACATATGAATTGTTGTCATAAATCTAAACCCAAAATAAAAAAGAAAAACAATGGCTTTTCATATTTTCTTATCAAAATCATTTTCAAATTATTCTATCAAATCGTGCTAATTGAAATAATCATCATTATCTGGTTGTTATCATGATTAATTTCTTTCTCCTTCATTGCTTAGCTTTTGTAGCAATGCTAGCAATGGATTACTGCGTAAGATAGAGAACATAATAGTTTTAAGTGAAAAAAGTTTTAAGGCAATTAAAGTTTTCGTTACAACTATGCGCAAAAATGATTCTTATAGAATATAGTGGCGTGGTTGATGTATATGGAAATGAAGCATACACTATCACTGAAAGCCGTTTTACAAATCGTTGGAATAATAATGTAAATAAGTTTAAGCCTTTTTTTGCAAAACAGATTTTCATTGAAGCTGCACAAATTTTTTTAATGATTGTTTTTCCTTTTCAGCAATTTCACGAGAATTCAGCGGTTATTGAGAACGGCGTACCTTTCAATCGTAGAAACTATAACGAAAGCTTTCTTGCTGCTAAATTTGATTGTGGTCAAGGTGCATCATCATCATTTTTTAGAAACTCACTGTATTTTCTTGGCTTTTGCTATATGACCTTTAGATATTACTAATTCTTAGAATTTCTAAATTTTATTTCAGAAGAGATGAATCATATGCTCAATGTGGTATCGAGACGTAATGTATGTTCAATTTTAACTTTCTATTATTTTTTTGTGGTTCATTTACTGAGTAATAGAAAAATATCGATGATCAATCTGGAAGTAAATAGTTAATTAATATAAATGTTACTTAATACAGATTTATATTAATTAATATAAATATTATTGTTAATACAGATCATTGTTGAAACTCAACAAATAAATGACATTTCAACAAAAACTTTAATTGAAGATCAGAAATTGATGTTAAAAGCATAACGTTGTTGGAAATGGTTTTTTCCTTTGCAGGTATCATATACGCAACATTCCTTCAAAGAATATGTGCCACATTTCTATCCCCGCACAATACGAATTCGTTTTGACAAAATTGATTCGTCGTCCACTAACACCTTTTGGGCTTTCGAACCAAACATTTTTACAACTGTCGAAAAAGTGAGTACATTATAATTTTCTTGGAAACATTTGATATCAATTTTTCCTTTTCGCAGAATTTTTGTTTTTTGATTTTCTTTTCCCTTTTTTTTAAGGTTCTTCATGAAGGACGACAGCGTTACACTGCTTGTCCTCAATTTGATCTATCGTTAGTTAACGAGTTAAGCGGAATGGGTTGCTTGGTAAAAGCGAGTGTTGACAGCGGTTATCGCTCCTTATGTCGTGCTGAAATTATCAAATTCGCGAACAACACACTTAGGCTTGTTTTTGGAATTTACTTTATTTCGTTTAATACATGATGAAGATACCAGTCGAATTCAACGGAATTCGACCGAATAAGATGCGGGCGTTTCAATTGTATTGGGGCTTTAATTTATATCACCGTAATTCCATAAGCTGTGATTCATATCCAATTGGTGGCTTTTCCCACTTTTGTTACTCCATCTTTCAAGTAACATTACCATTCAACACTTTCATTTTGACTGAATGGCAAAATTGTTTTTTAAAAATGAATTTCAGATTTTCCGTGTATTTGGTGGACTATGGTTTTTACAAGTGGGTCAAATGCGATGATGTATTTGATATATCAATGATTAGCAAGGTTAATTAAATTTGTCGTTATTTGGAACAGAATTATGTCAAATTAATGAGTTGAAAATAGATAGAACATTTGTATAAATATTGTGTTCCCTACAATATCCGAAAAATTCAGACTGTTATTTCTAATATATTAGTGATTAAGAAGCTTAATTAGATATATTAGACCTTAATTGGAACGTTCAAACTAAATTCCGATAAAGCTGAATTGTTATTCAATCAAGTATCATAGATAACATCTCCTTCATTTTTTTTTGAGAAGCGAGATGGTCCGGTCGGTCTCATGAGCTTACAAGTTGATAACATCGCTTACTGATATACATTATCTCAACTAGGCTTGGAAATGGCCATTTATTTATTAGGGTGAAGTGGAAATAATACAAATGATTTCCAGAAGGAAAGATTAGCATAGAAAGCAGGGGACGAAGAACTGATAACATTAGCGAGTGTAATGTCCCACTGACACTAAAATACATTAATGACCGAAGACAATCTTAACGATTATCTTCTCCTATCATGATATAATGGTAAAGCAGGTTGTTAAATTTCAGCGAGATAAAATCCTATATTTGCCAGTAGCTTTGCTTCATTGTCGACTTGAAAAAAGTACAAATGGAATTCTTTTACAGGTAACTCAGCCTTATATCTGTCAATCTTTCTTAGATAACTCAGCCTTGAATCTCTTTTTTCAAGGCTTCTCTCACTTTTCTGACAGATGATAACAATAAGCTTTTATTGATTTTGTATTGTAATTTATTCAAATCTGGTGCTATAAATATCATTACGCTTATTTAGCAATTGGAAAAAGGTAGCGAATACGAAATTACCATCAAATCACAGGATTCAGAAGGCATTTTCAATGTGCATATTAATCAAGCTGATAATAATAGAGGCGCATTGGCAAACATTTGTGATTCAGTTGTGCCAGTTAATTCTGATAGAAACAGTACGTTTTCTTAGTTAATGAAACTAAGATTAGATATACGAATACATTAAGGATGATTAAAGATAATTTTTCAACGACTTGACCTTCATCTGGGCTAGAATTTTTGAACTAAACAGGCTTGTAATTCGGTTGAAAGGTTCGTTTTTTGGAACGTACTCATCCAGCAGTCATTAGAATTATTTAATTCTCTTAAAATCATTTCTTTGGTAAACAACGGATACATGTACTGAATATATTCTTAAAGATATTTCTATAGTAATGCAAAAGAAACTGAACAGAGCTTTAATTGAAGTTTGAAATTTTAATATAGCTTAAATATCAAATTAAAAATATCAAATAATCTTAATGACTACTGGATGATTTATTCTAACATAGAAGAGAATGGATGCTCTCAGAGACTTTGATATACATTTGCTTCATTAGATTTATGTTCTTGCAATTTCACAGTAACTTTTTTTCAAGACAATTTGCTTGCTGCATGGTGTTCTTGTTCAATGCAATTTGCTTACGATGCATTTGTGAAGGCTTTCCAACGAAATATGCGCATTGATGAAGCAACACGTGAAAATTCTCTGATGAGCACAATGATGGCAAATAATATGACTTTCAGTAACTGGTTTGTTAACTTTCTGCAAGATTTGATTTGCTTGTTTCATTATGTGATGTGAAAGTAAAGCTAGATACGGTACAACTAGGAAATAAAACGAGTTTGATTCCAACAGGTACGAGTAAGATGCGGAAGGCATTTTATCCTCGTCAGTTTTGTAGCGAAACAGCACACAAATGAAATTCACTATCATTTTTTTAAATTTAACAATTTAGAGAAATAAAATATAAATTCTGAAAAAAGAGGAGAAAGTCAAAAAATCAAAAATCATTGTTTCTTAATCATTGTTTTGCTAAAGGCCAAGCATCTGTGGATTTGGTATTCCATATCCTATGATTATGCCTATAATGATGCCGACGATGCCTAATTTTGGTAGCATAACCAACAGCTACAATAGAGATCGAATTAATGCACAATTTGGACGAGGTGATGATGCGAGAAACGGGGATCGATTCTCAATGAATAATAATATGCGTAATTCAAACAGGCAATAATTTCCTAGTCTTTAAAATAATCGAAAATGTAGTAGTAGTTCTTGTTTCTTTTGTAGCAAGAATATCCTTACTGTATACGGTAACTCTGTGACCAGCTGTGTTTAATATTTCTGCTTTTCGATAATAAGAGTTTTTGAGGCTTGGAAATTTTATGTTTCAATGAATATAAAATAAAGTGAAAAAACAAAAGCATCATATAAGTTTTTGAGAAGAGGTAATGATCGCTTCATGAACCATGAAACAGCCATGGGAAGTAGATATTGCGCAATTGAACGCCGTGGAGAATTCAATTATAGCAACAATTTTGATGAACGCGATAATTTGCAAACTCGAAATGCTGGTAATCGAAATAATGGTTATTGGGGCAATCGAAATAATAATGGTTATTGGGGTAATCGCAATAATAATGGTTATTGGGGAAATCGAAATAATGGTGATTGGGGAAATCGAAATAATGGTTATTGGGGTGGTAGACGAGGAGAAAGAAATGGTGCATTCAGAGGTCGCCGACCTGGAAAATACAGCCATATTAATGCCGGCGGTTCAAATGAAGGTTCATTTATTAAAAAAACGTCTTTTAATATTTTCGTTTTCCTGTCTACAGAACAGGAATAAAAAAAACAATGTATTATTCTGACATCATGTCAACATTCCGGATAAACAGTAGGTTAAACAAGTAATCAAAATATCACCAACAGATTGATAAAAGGCTAGATGGCTAGTGTCATAAGGTAGCTGTGTCAAGCAATAAACGCTTTTTAGGAGTTTTGCTGTATTGAATCAACCATTCTGACAATCTTGAATGGATTAGATAAAATGTTGGCTAAAATTCTACTTTACATCTTCTGTTGAATCTGCAATATATTTTCAGCACGTGGATACTATTCTTTCGACGATGCTGAAAATCATAACGTTAACAAGGTACGTCTCTTTAATATGTTAATCATTTACAATATTGCTATTTCTATAAGACTTTTTCGTAGGATATATTTAAGTATTTTTCCCACTATTGGTCAATTTGATTTGCCATTATTTTCCATCACATTGCTTGTTTACAGGAGAATAAGAGAGGAGAATCAGCCGCTTACGCAGGAAGCAGCGAATGGGACGTATGTCGAAATTTTATAGCTTTTTCTTATTTTACAAACTTATTTGCTATTTTTAATTACTGTTACAGAATCTTATATCCTTGCTTCTTATTTTTTGATACATTCAATTGCTTCCGAAGCAATCTCAATGATTCATCAACAATGTTTACTATCGTTTAATGAACGGTGATATAGTGTGCCGTTCCAAACATACTTAATATTTTGTTGTTTTATGACGCAAAATCCCAAGCCAATCTTTTTTCTAATCACAATAATATGCGGAAAAACAACAGAGAAGCTAAAATTAAGTTGTTGTGGAGGAGCTAAAAAAATTAAGTTATTGAAAATATTTAATTCAAATGAGTTCTTTTTTACTTTATATTTCAGTTGCCACCGCCACGAAATCAGCACGCAAATCGATTCACTCGTTTCAACAAGAACACTCATTGAAGTGAATTTGAATTCAGTCGTAACATCGTAATGTCTAATTACGTCTATGATCTCTTTGAGATACTTATTAATACCATCATTGCTTATGTGTGCTTATGATTTGCTTATCTCTTTTGTTTACTGTATCAATTGATTTACAGCAGCGTTTAATTTTTATAGGAAGAAAACTATTTCTCTATTATAATATATTTTATAGTATTTCATAAATGATTTTTTTAATATTACTTCTGGAATTTTTACAAACAAGCCTAACATATACTCGTTGCTTTAATAAGTCCTATAAACATTGGATATTAAAATTTGTAATGACTGAAATTCGTTTGAAAGCAAATTTAAAATTAAGTATGGCATATTCTCCAGATAGAAATCGACTTCAAGACAGTTCAATTGAATTTGATTAAACGAAAAAATTCTGAATAAATCAAATATTTTATTGACCAAACTTCTCAAAAGTAAAACAGTACAAAAATGACGGTTGTGTAAAACAAAGCAAAAATGACGACTGTGGTAGATGGATTTCGTCATTAATTACTCAATTCAGGTAAAGGACTAGTCTGCAGAGTAGGTAGTCGAAAGGCAAATCAGGGTATCAAACCGGATAGGTGTTGATGAAGTGCCGAAAGACCGACGTTGCTTTCCGAGGACCAAACAATAGTACGATCTGTTAGGCGGTACTCCCGCATACTGGATGGCTGAATCAGCTGTTTCCTTTGCACGTCACTACTATCGTCAGGCATTGTGGCCTTGTACATCAGTTTTCAATTTGTTTAATTAGCAATTATCAAAATATCAGAAAATTGAAAAGCAGACGGAATTACTCTTTTATTCAGGATTCGGAAAAATATAGGTAGAATATTGATAATGAATGGTAAGAATGGTATAAGACAGGATGATTAAGAATAAATGGGAAGTTCGCACCGGTTGTTAATACATCCACTGATGATATATGCATTATGACTGCTACCGGTAAGTATTGATAGACCAGATTTTATCGTCGAACATGACGAAGCATTTTACCTTCATTATCACTTGCAATAATAAATTCCGCTGCTTTGCTTTCATTAATCGTGATTGATTTCTCAGCAGGCGCAGACGATCTTCGCATACAACTCTTCTTTGGCTGTGATATAACTGATACTTTAATTTAATTGAGCAATTACAAATTCTGTTATCAATTTAATACACATAATATTGTTGTTTCGATGTTTCGAAAAAACCTATAAAGCACGTTCTTCCTTAGCATTTCCTCGAAGGTTTCTAAACGCCCTATTAGTAAGTATCAAATACAAATTTATGCAATCGGTTTTGCTAAGATCAAGGCTAGAGGACACTTCAAGTTATTGGTGATGTTGCAGATTCAGTAAATGCAGCAAACCTCCTTTCAAAATCATTTTTAAGAAAACAACTGGACTAATTCGGAAGATTGTGAACGGAGTAAAATTATTACCGGCTGTGCTTTCTTCAATTTCATTCGCTCTCGCGCAGCTATTTCACGTACGTCACTGTTCATTGCAACAGATGGAACTTGTGCTGCAGATGCAGCAAGTGCACTCTGAACCCAGTGTCGTGCTTCCATGGTTTCTGGACGCTCAACAACCATCGTAACAAAACGTTGTGCTTGAAGACTTTTGAGGAGAAGCTCACGGCATACATCTTTATCAGTAACCGGTCGTCCGTCAATATCTATAATATGATCGCCAATTACCAATTGCTGAGCAGCAAGCGAATTCTGATCGGTACGTGATACTAATACACGGTTTTGATAGTGCTTAATACCGAGACCAAGCTTTGGACCACCGGGTTTCCAGTCAATTCGGGCAACCTGAAAAAGCAATCACAACAAATCCAAAAATATTAACAAGATAATTTGTAATGGGGTGAATGGAAACTCTCTTTCAGATTACTATCAACAGTATGTTTATATATCAACAATACTACGATCAGATCAGGCTATAAAGAATAAGTTCAAAAGAAGATTTCAATTTTTGATCTTAGAACTCTGTGATTTCCCAAAAGTCATGAATTTATTTTCTTTATGACTAAGATTCAGAAAATAATCGAACTTCCGAATAATTTTTCATTTTAGCATAAATGAGGAGAGAGAAAAAAAATTGAAAGTCACAAAATAAGTGTATCCATCGCGACGTGTGATAAATTTAGCTCGTTCCGGTGGTATAAGAACTTTAGCTTCTAATTCAGCTGCTTTCTTTGCATCACGTACTAAATTAATTGAAGCGATTGGTGGAGCAAAACGAAGTAACTGATAAAAGTGATCTGCATCACGTACAATCGTATCGTTTACCTTAAGAATTTGATCACCCACCTGTAATTCATTCAACGGTGAAAGGATCGATTGTAAAATAAGTTTCATATGAGCGTTAAAAAATATTGTTAAAATAAGTCATAAATCGGTTGTAAAGTAAATTCCACATGCAAGCACAAATTTGCTTGAAAATTTAGATTAGTTTATGATGTATCTTTGCTGTAATCACGTTCACTGAGCTATATAAATAACTCATTACTTTAAATTTGAACAATATGACCTTAAGCTTGCCATCTGCAAGGGTACCCTGTTGTACCTTGACAATTACAAGTTTTTCATTGGGTACAGCACCCAATGGCTCACCATCTTCCATAGGTATCGCAATTGTCATCTCTTTTGACATGATGCTAATACAATAACACCAGTGTGCAGTATAACTGCTTCTCACGAATACAACTAAACCAAATGATTTTATAAGTTATTTCTCCTTTATAAATCATTCTTTGAAATATGCATAACTTTCAACTTACAGCTCCAATAATTTTAAGTTTAAGAAATTTTCATAATATTATTCAAATGAATGTTTACCAGAATAAAGTTGCAAAATGCTACAGTTAAAATGCAATGCTCTAAATTAACATAAGTTTCTTTAAAACCCAATATAATTCTACCTGCTAACTTAAGAATCACCTGAATCATATGTTAATTTAGATTTCAGACCTGATTTTCAGACTTTTCAGACATTAGTCTAAACTTAAGGAAATCTATTTTTTTTTCCCCGATTCTAAAATATAAAATTCTGTTACATTGATTTCAATCATCGTTTAGAATTTGTATTTGTTGTGTGTGTGTATGTGTGTGTGTGTGTGTGTGTGTGTGTGTGTATGTGTGTGTGCTACGACTGGTACTAACAAAAAGAATTTTTTTCAATACAAATTTATTAATGAAGAAAAAAGACAATAAATTAAGAAATAATTAAATTAATAAAAGGTGAAATGAAAATACAAAATCATTCACAAAATTGTCACATTCATTGAAATTATTACATGAAACGAAAAAACCGAACGAATTCCTAAAAACATTCGACACTTTTATATGTACAAATATTTGAGGGCCAAAAAAATATTTGCATCAAAGAGTATCAAAAATTTCAAGGAAACGTGTACATAATAAAATTTGAAAAAACAGAATAGGTGAATTAACAAGAGAAAAGTAATTCACAAAATTTAGATGATATGAAAAATTAATTAGCAACAAATTTCTCAAAGAAATTATAATAAATAATAATTAATGAGTTATATTTCTTATTTCACACAATTACATCAATGGTTTTAATTACTTATGTATAATGATTGTCCAGTACCAGCAACAAAAATAGATGGTAATATATTGTTTATAAAGTGATCACAAACAGTATTACTTATTTAAAGGTAAGATGATACTCTTGGAATGTATAATTTTAGCATGATAATAGAATTGATATATTAGAAATGACTCATTGTTTAAATGCTTGGATAAAATTATTTTGATCCTTAAAGCACTATAATTTAATGCTGTTAAAATAATTGCAACAAAATGTTTGGATAATTTAAAAACAAAACTAAAATTAAGATTGTTCATTCTAGGAGCATCTGATACATTGAAAACAACAATAGTAATTAGTTGCGACGGACAATACATCTATCTATGGGGGTGCGTGCTTCTCTATAAACTTCCAATATAGCAGAAGCAAAAAATTATACAATAACAGATCATGCATGAAATATAAACGCGCACTGATCTATAGAAGCTCAAACACCCGATATATATATATATATATTTGTTATGCACTATTAATATACAAATCCGATAACACGTGTGTATATGTGTATCCATTCTCTTCTTCAGGTGATATGTTCCTGATTTCTTCATTATACATCATCAAATTTAGAACGTTTAATATTTAATTGTTGAAACTCTCGAGATGGTTGATGAGATCATGAAGTGAATAAAAGATAAACAAAAGTTGTTTCTTAGCAAATATGCTGTATCCATTGTGATCATTTCAATTATTATTTAACAAAGGTAACGCCACTGATGAACCTGAAAATAACACTTCTTCTAATACAAATATATCCTTCGAAAAATTTTTGATAATTAACGATAATAAATCTATAAGAATTAATTAACAATTATACTTATGATTTTTATTTCGTGATTTATCCAGAAAAAGACACACATTTTGCTTTTACTAAAAAAAATCATTAAAGAAGAGAAAAAAACATCATTACCCACATACCGATACATACACTATGGTCATGAAGTAAGATTTGTGACGAATAACGACATAATATAAGTAAAAAATTGAATATCGATATATTATGAGTTAAAAATAACCTTCAAGAAAGATAACCGCTTTTGCCAGATCTTCACCATAATCATTACGTATCGCGCAAAGATATTCACCAAAATGTTCATCAGCCAGTTGCAAAATTGATAGAGTTGATGTTGTAGCTGTTGATGAAATTTCAATACCATGACGTCCACTTACTAATTTCTTATCACCATGAAACCATGTTACTGTTGATAATAAGCCCTGAAATTATCGAAATATCACATAAACTATGAAAATTCCGAAGATTCATTTTCGTATTATGTTAAAAGTATTATATTGAAATGATATCAAAAAATGAAATGTGACTTTGAAACTAACAAATTATCGGAAAAATACTATCAGACATTATTCAGAAGCAAATCTCACACTACTAATTATCTAATTAATCTACGTATCAATCAATCAGTAGTTAAAGAGTCGATCATTACAAAGATGAAAAATCATTCTGCAAATGACAGTTTTCTAGTAATTGATAAATAATAAGTAGCGTTACGCACTTTAAAGCTACAAGTCAAACTCGCTTTCTGACCGATTGTACTTTGGATTGAAATTGGTAATTTGGTGAATCTTGGCATAACAGCATCCAAACTGAAATAAACCAATGCTTTTCGAAAATGAATGAAAAAATAAACAAACAACTTTGAACATTATCGATGATACAACTTCAAAAAATTTTCAGCTGAAAATTCCAATGGATAAATGAAATGGAATACGTAACAGAAATAACGTATCCTTCTTATAAATTTTTGTGTATCAAACATAACTCGCGAATTTTCATTCAACTAAAAAAGAAAAAAGTATCTTATTGGGAACTGTTATGATATATCTTTCAATTTTCACTGATATAAAACTGATAATGAAAAACTTACTCTGTAGCTTCAATAACATTAACAGCGATTATCGCTTTAGCTGTACCGGAAAGATTGACTGCTTGCAATTCGTATTTACCACGATCTTCATTGGTACAATTACGAATTGTAAATGTAAACATTTCGCCACTGTTTGCCATCTGAAGAAGAATTTAATACATGATCTATCAAATACTCTAATAGTGCACAACATTTTTTAAAAAGTTTAAATAATTTCTTCCTTCCAAAATTATTTATCAAATATTTGAACTGTATTATATCAAGCATTGAAGCCAATTGCTCTTGTATATATGAGATTCACGCAAGTTAATAAAATTAAGTTTGATGCATAAGTTTAACCAACTAAAATAAAGGAACAAAAATTCTTTAAAACAAATTCTTAATACTCTAATATGACTGAAGCAATCATATTTATCCGAATATTTTGCAACAAATAACATACCTGATATTTTTCGCCGGAAGCAAGTGAAACCATATTTTTAGTCCATAAAACTGCCGGTTCGGGATATCCACGTACCATTACTGATAATGTCAAATCATTTCCTTGTTCAATATTCACGCTTGTTGGTGCATTCATAATAACTGGTGGATTTTCATAACCACTTGGCTTCCGATTTCCTTCATACAACTTTTTTTAATATTTGTGATAATCTAGTACATAAAATTTTAGAACCAAAATTTCTTTATCGTAATTTCAAGACTTTCCACGCATGATCTTTCATGATTTTTAAATCCTAAAAACTTTAAATCTTTTTCTTGCAAAAACTAATAATGTCCCAACTGTATCAATCAGATTAATACTTTATACCTTTTTTACGATATCATATAATTAGTCTACCTGTGATAGCGAGGCGAATATTAAATTTAGCAACGCCAAATTCATTTGTTGCTTCACACGTATACACTCCAGCATCTTCAGGGAATGCATCTGCTATTGTTAAATAGCAATTCGCTTCCTCACGTGAATATCCAAATCCACTGGAATCCTGAATTTCCATTTTGTTACGTATCCATCGTATCGTTAATGGTTCGGAACCTGAAAGAAAAATAGCATTAAAATGGAAATTTCATTGATTTATGTAGGCTCTAATCGATTTCAGTAATTAAATAAATTATTATAATGATCTTATAGCTGTAAATTTAAAAGATACTATATTGCATTAAATAATAACAAACCTTCTACCAGTTCAGCATGCAAAATCACTTTATCACCATCTGATGCTTTAACTGTTTCACGCCGTCTATCAGTACGGAATTTCGGTGATGTACCACTAGTTGCAGATATCTTTCTCGGTTCAACGTCAAGTTGCATTGCTGTTTTAGCTTCACCTTCTTGATTTTTTGCAATACAGACATATTTTCCAGTATCTGATGCAGCAATGCTAACAAATTTTAGTGTTGTTGTCTCACCATCATATGATATCAGATAACGGTCATATTGAGGTGGAAGTATATCACCATTTCGAAGCCATTGGATTGCTGGAGCTGGATAACCTGATACGCTACACTCCACTGATACTGACTCGCCGTTTGTCGCCTACAAAAAAGAATATTGACTGATCTCCTGATTAAAGTAGTTTCATTGTATCACTTGAAATCGATATTTTTTATATCAAAACATCCTTAAAACAGTTACAAAAAATATTGCAGTTTTTCAAAAATCACATCCGAATAATTTTGTTTACCTTGAATTTACCAGGCAACACTTCAATAAACGATGGTGCAGCCAGTCCTTTTCGTAATCTTCTTGTACCATCACTCGGCATCACTTCAATTTCGGTAGTACAAGTCACAAAACCTTCACTGTTAGAGGCAGAACAATTGTAGAAACCTTCATCAATCTTGGACATGTGATGTACCTGTGATAAATTATTTCTAGAAGGAAGCTTGAAATTGCTAAAAGCAAGTTAATAGATTTCAAAATTTCTATAGATTAAATTTGGAATTGAAATCACAATCTACCTCAAGATAGTAGAAGTCGCCATCATTGTAAATCGAATATTTATTACCAGTTTCCAACACAATACCGCCTTTATCCCAACGTACAACTGGTACTGGATTAGCCGAAATAGCAGTCTTTAACCTGAGTGATTTATGCTCGATAATTGATTTCTTCGGTTTCGGTTTTGTCATGAATTTTGGTCGACAAATATTCTTATTCCGTTCAGCAATTGATGTTCGAATTTCTTTCAGTGCTATAAAAAATTATGAACAAAGTTATCACCATCGATAAGTAATATCACTTGTTATTTGAAAAGAAATAGGGACATTTAGGCATATCAACTGACTTGTAATTTCGGTTTGTGGCTCTATCGAACTGCTGGAAGCAGAAGCGTCTTCAAACTTCGCATCTCTTAATGTCACAATTTGCTTCATACGTTTTCCCTCTGATCTTCCATGAATATGATGTCGCCGTTCTGGAAAAAAATCGCAAATATCATTAAATATATTAAAGGTTCTTGCAGAAAAATTATTTTTAGAAAATTGTAATTTTTTTAAAAACCACGAAATCAAAGTCTCACTTCTAGCAACTGTTCCAGCCAATGCGGCTGTGTCACCTTCACGAAATTCAAGATCTTCCAAACCGATTAAAAATGCCGGTGCGGAACCCTTTCGCTTTATATCCGGACGAGCATTCCGACGATACTGAGTTCCAGTCTGCAGAAATATTAAACTTATTAAAAATGTTTTAATTTGCTGAAAAAATTGTTAAATTAAAAAACTTTTATGATACTCAAATTTTCAATCCGATGGAGATAAAAAGAACAAATTAAACCAATTTATATGTAAAAGAAAATAAACCACGAATGATAAAGCAAAATGGTCAACTTTTTTGTTGCGATACAAATTAGAGCTTCAAATTGATAGCTAAACCGAAAAATTAATGATGAATGAAGTCCAAAAATATTCTTATATTAATTGAATGAAAATTTACTCTGTCCATTTCAGGCATTGGAAGTCTTGGTTTCTCCGATGATTGATCTTCTTGCAAATCTGCTTTGAGTTTTTTCACGGAATCTGAAAAAAGTTGATCAAAAAAAACTGCAAGTAAATCAACGCGGTCCCTACCAAATTAGAATATATTTTCCAGGAGACTTGAAGGAAATTCTTACTTACTTTTGCATCTTAATTTGATTTCCATGAAATATTCAAATTCAAAAAAAGAGAGATCCGAAAACAAATACCTTCAGAGAATTTTAGTGGCTCCACTTCAGAACGTTTTCTCCCAACATTCAATGACGCAGTTGTTCGCACGATACCGTGGATATTTGAGGCTTCAACCGAATAAGTACCAAGATAAGATACAGTTAGATTTGTTATTTTCAGTTGACATTTAGTTGGACTAATGTATACAATCTATAAATAGGAAAATGAATTGCTTCAGCTTATTCAGTATAATAAGCATTTTTAAAGTACTTATTGCTAATTGTAAACAGTATTTCAATGTTTAAATCTAAACAAAAGACGAAGTTAAATAAAAGTTCAAATTTGGAATAATTCAACAAATTAATACCTGAGTATCATTTTCCTCAAGAACTTTCTCATCCGCATGATACCACGTTAATTCCGGTAAGGGATAACCACTGACTTCAACTTCAAAATCAGTATCACTACCCAGTGGTGCCCATATATCGCGCAGACATTTCAGGAAACGTGGTGGTCCAGCTGGTTGATCGAATGGTTCTGAAACATTAACCATTGTTGACTGATTACAATGGACAGAAATACAAAATATGAAAGTAAGGGAAAAGTAATTCAACTGTAATTCAACTTCAAAAATTTAACTGCATACATTTATCAATTACTATTCTCAATCTTGTTATCATAAAAATTAAACCGAAATTTGAAAAAGAAATATGAAAAGACATGAAGACTTTTACGGAATGCAAAAACTGTAAATTAATATACAGTATAAACTAAATTGTTAAAATTGCATTTTGAAAAAAATTTAGGTAAGCATATTTTAGGTAAGTCTAAATTAAAATGACATCAAAGAGCTTAGTTCATCTATAATTATACGAACAAATAGCAACAAATAGCAGATCATGATATCCGATTAACAATTTCTTCCTTCGTATTATTTATTCCGTATTAAATTTCACTATTGAAATTTAAGTTTCAATTACAATTGCAAGCAGTTTCATAATATATTAGAACTAAAAACGGAAAAAAGAAGTTTCTCGGTTTTGGAATGCAAATTTTTTCTATTTCAATTCAACATAAAATTATTACTGATTTTATTAATGAATAAAATTATTCATCAATCTTATTTACGCATGGAAAAAATAAAGAAAAGATTGATACCTCCAACTAATAGATAGCATTGAGTCATTGCTCTTCCATGTTCATTGATAGCAACACATTGATAAGTGCCTTGTTGTGTTTTCATCACACTTTCCGTCTTCATTTCACAACTATTACCTTCCCGATATTCTGCCCAAGCCGAATTAGCCGTTGTACGCATTATGGTTGTTTGCTGTGCATCATTGATAAAGATCCACTGAAATTATATATTCTGAATTCAAACAAATCTTTGAAAATTTGTTGAAGTGATTGTTCGTTTAAAGTAGCAAATAATAGAACATGTTGTACTCATTTATGTCTTACTTCCTTAAACTTTAGCATTTTGTACTTTTTCTGTTATATCTATTTTCATTCTTAAAAATAAGTAATTTTTTGAAAAACTATTCCGAACAATTCTCACATTCAGAAATTAGACTATTATGAAATATTAAATAATTATTGATTTTCAATAGAATGTTAAATTTTAGAAATAATGTTTGAAAGAATAGATCGATAGAGTTCACATTGTTAATTCTTGGTAGTTTCTTCTTTATTAGATTACGACAAATTAAATTTCCTATAGGTCAATTACAGGAAGCAGAAGAAATATTTAAAATCAATGTTGGTTTATGTTGCAACAAAATATGGTACCTTAAGTTGAGGTTCAGGAATACCCTTAACGCAACACTTTAGCGTAACAGGATGCCCAATTGCAACACCAATATCTGTCAAATCCACTGTAAAACTCGGTGCTTGTTCTTCCCGATGTTGCTTATTCAGATTTGCTAAATCAAAATCCGAATAAATAATTGGAAATTAATTGCTGATAAATCGAATTTTCGAAAAGTTTTCATTTAGTAAAAATTCGATTAACAAATAAAACATAACGCTGAAAGACGTATAAAGAGAGCAAATACTTACTATGTACAATAAGTTGTGTTTCGAAACTTGTCAAGCCTTCAGAATTTTCAGCTACACATTTAAATGTACCAGCTGTTTTTGTAATGGCGTACTGTACAAGGAGTACCGATTCACCTTCTCCGGTTAGTAATATTTCATATGCACGGTTCACTTTTGTAATCTGTAACAATTAACTCGATGAAAAAAAGTTGATATCAATTTAAAACTATAACTGCTGTTAGTACTAATCAATTAATTTCTCTTATAATTATTTATCTTACTCAGATACTTACTTGAACATTATAACTAAGTAAATTTTTTTTCAATAAAATCAATTTTGCAATCACAACTTCTAGTGAATGATCCAATCAAAAAATACCAATACATAAACTATGAGATCAAGTTCGATTCTAGGAATTCGTCTGATTTACATACTTCTCAATTATGCAATTTCGACTATATTTTTATGTCCAAAGTATAATGAATATGATAATTAATAAAAATTAAATTTAACTGCTTTGTGATTACAACATATCTTTCGCTCATCATTTCACTAATTTATTAATTCATTAATTTATTTCCTTTCAAATAAATATTTTATAGTTTCAAAGCTAAAAGAATAATTATCATGTAGCGGAAATTCCAAAAAATTTCTACTAGATGTAAATTATTCATTGAAAGTTTCACTTCTGGAATTAATTTATCATCAGGATAGGGAGACGATCAATATTTCGTCAATTTCTAACTCGAGAGCAAGAACAGAAATGAATGATGTACAAATTTGCTGCTATTTGGAATGAATTATCCATATCATCTATAAATCTTATATTATCCGCAAAGATAATTTAGATGCTGTCTTGCAACAGTTAAAATACAGAATCTAAATTATCTTTTCAATGGCGGATATTTTGCCCCATTAAGTGATACCAATTTAACATAGCACTAAAAATTCAAAAAGTGATATATTAAGAATGGAAGCAGTTTTTAATTAAGATAATGCCAAACTTGCATACCTCTTTTCCGTCTTTGAACCATTTAACAAGCGGTTTGGGCAAACCAACAGCGCGACTTATTAATTTTACCTAAAATTAAATCGTTAGCTTTGAAAAAAGTGAATGAAAACAAAACTATAGAGTTTTTAAATGGTTTCGCAACATCTGAATTTATTTCAGATCATAGTTTTATAATAACAGACCGTAGACCCTTCTGTAGTTTCGACCACCGCACCCGGTACACGAGTAAATCTTGGTTTACAATACTGCATTTCTTTATTTTCGGCTGTCACCAAATGTGAATCCGGGCCAGCGACTTCTGCGACAGTTAGCATCAGGTGGGAACTCTCACTACCGAGTACATTAGATGCTGTACACAGGTAGAAACCAGTATCTTTTGCGGTACAGTTGAAAATTGTAAGTGAACACCAGCCGTCCTCAGTGAATTTAAACTTTTGATGGCGAGTTGAACTGATTATGTTGCCGTCTTTCGTCCATGTAATCTGCAAATGCATTTCATTTTCAGCAGAGATCACATAAGTAAAATCTCAATGTGTTAATTAGTAGAATGCTTATTATTTATATAAACTAATAATCCGATTCAAAGAACTAAGATGAAACAAAACGATCTGATTTACAAATCTCTTCTGTTCAAGAGAAAATTCTACCTGAGGTTGAGGATCACCAAGAATGCGGCATTTCAGTTTTACTTCCTTATTAGTTAAAACTGTTTGGTCTTTCAATGGTACTTCAAATTTGGGTGCCATTTGTGGAGCTGATGCCATAACTGTTACCTGAAATTAATAATGCTATTGCAAAATTTGCAGGCATGGAATATATTTAATAAGTCTTGAAGTCAATAATTCCATATTTCTAAAATTCACTATATTTTGAAGTAATAAAGTAAGATACATCAGAGATGAAAGAATGTTTCCATGCATACCTGACACGTTGATTGTGCAGTTCCGATCGGATTCGTTGCAACGCATCGGTATGTTGCATTGTCACTGATTTCAGCATTATGACATATTAATTTACAAATATTATCCTGCTCAACTATTTCATAACGACCAACAGGACTGCAAATAGATTATTTTTACAATAGTATTTCAATTAAAAGAATCTAATTAAAAATCTGTCAATACGAAGTATTTTTTTATGTTTCCATCTCCAGAAAAATATTTAAAATGTTTGATTTATACACATTCACTTTTTAAAATCATAATTGTTAGTCCATTTCACAGATATTGAAAAGACGAATTTCTGCAATGTTTCGCATAAATGAAAAGAAGATTTGAAACATATTAGATGGTATTGTTTTACTATTAATTAAACTAAAATAAAACTAACAAAACAGTAATTTAGAAGTTCGAAAACTAGTGGAAAAATTAAGTCTCTCAGAAATTGTTGCACAACTTACGCTAGTCTTTCATCGTTTCTAAACCACGAAACGACTCCTTTCGGTGATAATTTTATTTCACAGCTGAGAATAAACTGTTGACCTGCCGTAATAGTTTCATTCGAAAGTGGCACCAAAATTTCTGGCTGACCTTCGAGAAGCCCATTTCTGGTCTGATCGTACACTTCTTCTGCATTTATTCCATCCTAAATTATTAATAGCTTTTGTCTTCCTCAAAATTTGCATCATTTTAAGTTAAGCGGAATAATAAAGCAGAAAAAAGTGGATCTTTTAAAAATTTTGAAAATTTTCGTTAGTTTAAAAAGAAAATTATTTCTGGGAGATAAGATGCTTTCTTATTAATTCATTATTTTAGCAAATTTTTACAAATAAAATTTAACAAAATTCGTACAATACATACCTTCTTCCCGATGATATGTATCTCGCATGTATTCTCACCAGCTTCATTTCCGATATGACATGAGTAGAGTCCAGTATGGACATTTTCTTTCGGCTTCTTGATAACTAATTTGCTTGATCTACCGGTTACAGTAGTTATTTTCACATTGTTCTTACCATCGACTAATTCGATACCGTTTTGATACCATTTCACGGATGGTGTTGGTTCTCCTTCGAATTCGATATTAAGCTCAATATCTTCCTTCTCATTAAGTATCAATGTTGCAGGTGGAATATTTTTCAAAACTGGTTTCTTGCCATATGGAAGTGTCATAATGGTTGCTGATACCGGTGAATATGCTGCCTGTCCAGTCTAAAAAAGAACATTAAAATAATGAAGAAATTTATAATTGTTGCCGAATTTTTAAGTGAAAACAACTTACCTCATTTTTGGCAGCAATACGGAATAGATATCCAGTACCAGGTTGTAAATCGCCTATTGGATACTCCGTTTTCAAGCCTTTGCCTACTTGCGTCCATTTTCGATCATCAGGTCTGGAAAAAAATTCTGTTTAATGAAAAATCCGGATTTTTTGTTTATTTTTCAAAAATTAAACTGCAAGAAATTTATTGTAATTTATCAAACAATCACAACAGTATGCGACGCTATAAATAAAAAACAAGAAGTTAGCAAATTTCTATACTCTGGTTAACTTCAAGGTTCAAATTTACCTTTTCTGTTCAACAACATATTCGATTATTGAATCACTATCTTCAGGTGCTGTCCATTTCAGTAATAAGCTATTATTGGTAAGTTGTGTGGCGTATGGTTGACCGATTTGGACACTAAACTGTAACAGATCATCTTTTTCCTTAACCGCTTCTGATTTTCTGAAAGCAATTATTACTTCGTTACAGTTTTTGCATGTGCAATTCAGTTACAGTTGGAATGAACAAACTGTTGCACAGCTTAAAACGCATAATTACAAAAGATTTGACACTTCAGATAAAAAATTAATAGTAATTTTGATTTCACTTACGGTTTGGGAGTAACATGCACTGCGATATCAGCAAAGATTTTTCCACCACTATTTTCCGCTTCTATTCTATAAACACCTTCATCACTGAGTAGGACGGAAGAGATCGTAATCTGATGGTTGATACCTTTCTTTTGCAATACAAAACGATCATCCTTGATTACGGAATGATCTTTAAACCAAGTCACTGCAAAAGAGAATGGTTATGAAGAGAAATGAAAGGAAAAAGTGACTGACAGGAATTATTTCTTATAAAAATGTGAATTCATTTGATTTCAAAAATTCAACTCTTGCAGAAATTTGCTGGTGAAATTTTTGAAAATTATAATTATAACTATAGTAAATGAAAATCTTTCGAACCTTCCGGTTGAGGTTCACCATCGATATCACAAATAATGTTTAGGACATTATTTTCCTCAACAACCAATTCTTGTACCGGTACCACTACAAAGAACGGCTCTCTCATCATTTTCGAAGGCAAATCTTCAGTAATATCTACTACATTAATATTACATTCACTTTCACATTGGTCAGTGGCATTTCGTGCTATAACTTTCCATTTGGTTGCATCGGTAACATCGCATGATATTATTTTCAGATTATGAAGACCATTGTCTTTTTTGATGATAAATCTTGGATTATTGATATCAATTGCTTTATCATTTTTAAACCATTGAACTTCCGATTCAGGATGCGAATTAATCGCGACAGAAAGCAATACCGAATCGCCAACTTTTGCGCTTATATCAGCAAGTTTAGGGTGAAACTCAAATTGTGTTGTTGCTTCCTTGGTTTCTTCTTTGTTAGTGTCCTCGGGAACTATTTTAACTTTTTTCTTCTTTTTATCTTTTGCTGCTTTTATGGATAGTTGGGCTTCACTCCTAATAGAGCCTAGCTCGTTTGTAGCAATTATCGAATAGATACCAGAATCTGTTTTAACAATATTCTTTATATTCAGTTTGACAACAAAGCCTTCACATTGTGTCTCATATTTGTTAGCTTCTGCGGGAATTATTTCTTTGCCATCTTTCAACCATTGAATCGCCGGTTGTGGTAGTGCTTCGATCTCACAGATAAATGAAGCAGTCAGATCACCAACATTCGCCACAATATCGTCTAAATTCTTCAGCAATCGCGGCGGAAGGTTTACTTCAAACCTAATATCTCTCTCGAACGTACCGTTCACTGACCGACGCCGGAAAATGGCATCAGTTTTGATAGTTTTGCCGATTGGTATCAACACGTCACTTAAATGTTTCCGGATTAAGAAATCTTTCTTTTGGGCCAAGAGAATTTTTCCACGTCTCTCTGTTAACTCTTTCATTGTTATCCATGGATGTGCAAGTGCTTCGGCCACTGTCATACGCTTTCCTTTGTTTTTGACGATCAATTTAGCAATAAAATCTTTAGCAACATCGGAAACATTTTTCCAAACCACATCGCTAAACTGCCAATCACACAATAATACATTAGCCATCGTTTCCTGATTTGTTGTTCCGGCAAACGGTGATACCCCAGATAGTCTAAAAAAGCATATATCAGAAAAGTTTACGAATTCGAACCAACAATCGTAATTTGCTTATCACGATTACAACATTGAATTACGAAGATGAAAGTTGCTATTTTCCCTAATATTGGTTCAGTTAACTGCTATCAAAAATTTCGATCTTTCAAATTCATTTGCTTAACAAAAAATAATGTTCGAAAATATTCTTTCGAATACTATGAAAGCATTCTTTATATCAGAATTTTGAACAAAACTTACAGCGAATAAGTAATCACACCAACAGCCCACATATCAGCACTCAAGCCAACCGGTTCCATATTAATTATTTCCGGAGAGCAGAATTCCGCCGTACAGAATAATAATGTTGTACTTTTATTAGGGTCCAGTTTCTGTGCCAAACCGAAATCAATAATTTTAATATCGTTGCTCTCATTTGAAGTGAACATTATGTTTTCAGGCTGAAAATGTGGTCTACTAAAATGTGTCATGGACTGGTGAATCCCACGTTGTATACATATAAAATAGAACAATAAGTGAATAAGTTAATGAGAAACTGATTGGAGTGATAGTAGAATGATTAATTGATATTTTTATATACATCGTATATAAAGGATGCTTTTCAAACAAGTAATTATAGAATTTCAATTATATATTTTAAATAATCATGAGATAAAAATGGGTAAGATTGGTAGATAACAAGATGCACTTGATAATATAGAAATATACGTGATGCGATAAAGTTAAAATAACAGACCTTTAAATCGAGGTGCACGATATTCTTATTATGCATATATTGCACACCTTGGAGAATTTGCCGAATGAAAGTGCGTGCTTCATCTTCTGACATTAATGCATTATCATCGATTATTTTATCGTGAAGATCACCACCAGATATGCTAAAAAGTCTCTCATGACATTTTTGTCAAAACTTGCAGAATTTAAATTCAAAGGTAACTATGAATAATTGACTTCTGTGGATTCTCAGGTAAAGAGAATATCTCTTTTTTCTTCGTAACATTTAATTAAATTTTCCAAAGTTTTAAGAGCCTAAAATGGGAGAAATGTACGGAACAATATTTTGTTTCTTATTTGAAAGAGAATTATTATTAATGCATTACTAATTAAATTAGGGAAGAAAAGAAAATTAAGTTTATTTACAGTAAGTTTTTTTTCCATTTTCCTGATATTAAACATCTTTCTTTCCGAATAAACAATAACAACTTTTTTACTTGACATCCATCAATTCCAATTTTAAATACGTTCATACATGACAGCTTACATTAAGCCATAATTAGCAAAAGTCTGAAGACTCTTTAAACCCTTCCGTAATATCATGAAAAAATTACTAACAATTCTTCGATTAAACACATTTCATTGCCCAAATCAAATACTTCATGAAGATTGAGAAGTTTCTCGTGATGGAGTTCATTCATCATCTTAACTTCATGCATTATCACTTCCTTCTTCATATCAGCCGATATCTTGATCATTTTCGCTGCCCAATTTTTACCGGTTGCTCGTTCGATTGCTCGGTAAACAGTACCATAAGCTCCTACACCGATCTTTTCACATAGTATGTACTACAAATATAATTACAATTAGCAGTGATTATAAATCCAAATATTTATCATTGATAGTTACATTTTCTTCATTAACATTTTGCTTTCATTAATTAAATGATGCATAAATATAAATTTAAGTAAATTTTCTATTTCGGTGTGTATTACTTACTCTATTTATGATCGAAAAAATTTTCAAACTAAAAAAATTTGAAATCAAAATTAACTTTATTTAGAGAATATAAAATAACTGATTATTTAAATGATGCTTAATATTTAACAGTTCTTATCACAAAAACTCCTTTAGAAACTATATTTGATAAAGTGATAGTCGAAATTCTCAACAATTTCGAGCCAATCTCGAGCCAAATAAAAAAACAAACTTAAAAGAGGAAATTTAAAAACGTAGAAATTACAAAGGCAACATTCTCGTTGAAAAATCAGATAGAAATAAATTTCAACTTCTATAAATTTCAACTTCTCCCATCTTTTCTTACTGTTCATTTCATATCGATTATCGATATCAAAACTTATCAAATATCATCTAATATTATTTAGGATCTTTCAAAAAAATTTTTTTATAGAAATGTCAAATTGTGCAAATAAATTTTTATCATATGCCTAAGCTTAGATTAATAGATAATAATATCTATAATATATGAAGTGAAGTTTTAATCTTCTTTAAGAATTCATTCAGAATTCTTAAAGAAGATTAAAACTTCATTTCATGTACTATGAATTTCATATTTATCAATCTGTACTTAGGCATATTTGAATTGGGACAATAGGAAGAGTTTTAAAAGAGAGAAAAAGTAATAGATCGTGCCAACCAAGTTCGCTCTCATAGGAGGATTTGTCAAAAGAGTTTAGCAAAAAAGAGACTGATTTTTCTCGAAGTTTTATTATCCAAATTATAGTTTACATAATTATAATTATAGTTTACATAATTAAAATTTTATGTTAACATTTTTTTAAAAATAAAATCTTGAATAAATTGTTTTCCATTTTATTGAAACGTAAACTTTTGGTTTCTCTTTTCTATTTGTATGCGAAAAAGGTGTTTGTCCAGGTGCATATATGCAAAATTGTATGATTAATGAAATGATTTTAATTATTCTCTTTACAGGTGTCTATAAAGAGATATTTCTCTTTACAGATGTCTTATAAAGAGAATAATTAATTTCTTCTTCAATAAACATATCAATTAATCTGACATCTATAAAAAGGATAATTGAAAAAGCATTTCCATAATAAATATATCAATTAAATTATTAAAGAAAGCTCCTGCCTGCATTTCTCCAATAAACAACATTAGCAAATCATAAAGATATGGAATTATAAATTACTTCCAGCGATTATAAAATAGGTAAATCTTTATTAAATATATCATTTCTATTAAATATTATTGTTTCATTTCTATTAGCGTTAAATTAAAATTAAAAGTAATTTTAATTAAGTGTTAAATAATTATCATAAAATTCCGCTATTTTAAATCAATCAATTTCCAATATTCTTACCTTTGATTCAAAATCACTAGGAAGTTGTAGCACATCAATATCACGATATTCCGATGGCTTTACACCAATAACAAATTCATCGTAATTAATTTTTTCTTCCTCTTCTTCTTCTTCTTTTGTCTTTTTCTTATCCTCCTCTTTTTCTAATTTCCCATATTCAACCAAAAACTGCAGTAGAATAATAAATTAATTAAATTAACAATATATACATACTAATTAATATGCTAAAATTAAATTAATGCATTGTCTTTCTTTTCTAAAGAAAATAATATTATTAATTTAAATAAAGTTTTTGAACTATTTTTCCATCTTCTACAAATGAAATCTAAATTCTAAGAGAACGAATGAAACCTAAATTCTGAGACCATTTGCCTATAAAATTATTAAAATGTAAAATTCGATATATCACACATCAAAAAATATGCATAACTTTTCTTTCAAAATCAATTTCATAAAATTTAAGAGTTTTTAAAAGATGAAAAATTCATAAAATATGCATTTAGATTTTCTTCTAATTGCTTAAAAATGATTTGATGCATGCATTTTTAAAGATAATAGGCTATTTCAAAAATAAAACAATCTAAATTTAAAGAATAAAACAATGACCAATATTTCACGATTAGCTGTTTCACTTCGGAACTTTTTAATTTCAAAATAATTTTTTCTATTCTAATTAAATTTTATCGCACTATTGAACGAAAGCAATACGATGTAATAGATCAATTTGCGTTTATTTTCTGATTTAGTTAACACTTTGATAGTTTAATTTAATTGGAAATTCTAATACAGAATCATCAGATATTTTAATTGACAGCTTATATGATATTAATATATTTGAACTTTTTTCCTTATCCTTTAATTTAACAAATTTATTCTTTATCAAGGATTATTTTTTCAATCAAAAATCTTTTGAAAATTCTCACCGATTCACTTTCTTCCGATGGTTCACTTATAATATCTGCAATACTAGCACGTATTCGGAACCGATACGTGTTACCAGGCTCAAGTTCTTTCACTGTTACATTCAATTTAGCGCTTTCGGTTACTTTTATCCATTTTTCTCCTTCCTAAAGAAATTTTTGTTTTTTTTGTTAATATATTTCATGGTCGAATCTTACGAGGATAAAATCAATTTTGAATTTCGAACTTTCAACAATTTTTTAATGCTAATTTTAGTACATAACAAAATACTACGTTTTTTTTTGCGTTATTAAACTTTAATTTCGTGTAGAATATCTTCATGACTGTGTTATTCATATCATGATGAAATCATCATGTCACTCATATTTTTATGGAATGATCATGTCACTCATATTTTAATGGAATGATCATATTATTCATATTTTAATGGAATGACCATGTTATTCATATTTTTAATGCTCATTACTTATTTAGTTTATTTGTGATTTATTACCTGTTATCTAGTGATTCCCATTTTAATAAATAAAAACAAATTTAAAAGTCTAATTTATACAACAATATCCTTGACAAATACTGAAAGCTATTTGAAATTCATAATCCTAAATTGTAATTATTTTTGTACTAATTTAATAATCATTATTAGAAATGATAAGTTAAAAGTAAATAAAATATTTTGCATATATTAAATGTGCAAATAAATTTTCATCATACTTTGTAATTCCTGAATTGCTTTTCTTTTTCATCTACTCTTTCCGATCATCAACAAAAAAAAAGAGATAATTACTTCATTTACAATTTCTAATACTTATCCTAATGGCACCACTCTATTTGAAATATTATAAGCAATATTATTAGATTCTCTCTTCTTCTCTACTTTCTCTCTCTCTCTCTCTCTCTCTTGTTTACAAATAATTTTCAACGATATTGTTGTATAAAATATTCCGGATACGTAAGTTAATTAACTTATTTCTAATATAAAAGCTAAAATTACCAAAACTAATTTTCAGTTTTTTTTCCATAAAATTTAATCTCTTTGAAAAATTCCAATCGTAGAATATATTACACTCATTAGGATAGTTGAAAAATGAAAAAGGTAAGTAGGAATTAGATAAGTAGGAATGATAAAGGTAAGTAGGAAGTAGGAATTAGAAAAAGTGGTATTTATTTAGTTTTCTTCCAAAAAAATTCCGAAAACTTTTTAAATTAATTTTAATTTTAATTAAGTTAAAATTAACCTTTTTCATTTCAATGATGTATTGTACATTTCTATTAACAGCTTCTGGTATTGAAGTCCATTTTAAGCTCACCGAATTGAATTTCAGTTTTTCAAGTATTGGCTGACTTGGTGCAGTTGGATATTCCAGAATCTGAAGCAATGGCGCAATAATATTTGACGACAATACGTGTGAATTCAAAAAGCAGCGATGATTAAGTAAAATGTTTACTAATTTAAAAATTATTTAAAGTAATTAAGAATGAAATTAGAAGCACTTTTTATCATTTAAAAAAATAGAAATCATGCTAACATTACATGAAACTTTAATTTAATCTCACACTGACCCAAATCCTTGATCTCGTATAAAAAACTTCAATTTCTCAAAATCAGTACCTTATCAAAATCACTAGCATCGATTAAGGGCATTGTAGTTTGCAGTTGAAATTTCAATTTCACATTTCAACATACTGTATTTCATATTTTCCAAAGCATAATAAAGAAATGTTAAAATTAATTGCGTTTTTGCAAGAGAAGACATATAATTTCTCCAATTTAATACCTGACATTTTTTAAACAACTAATTTTCTATTCTAATTAGTATTCGATCGAAGTTTCGATGCAAATATAAAAAAATCAAACCTCAACAGGAATTTCACATTTTGCTTCACCCAGTTCATTTTTAACTTTGAACAGGTACTTGCCTTGCACATCATTATCCACTCCCAATATTGCAAGTGTTGTTAATCCGTCAACTGTTGTTACCTGAAATTTAAATTTGTTAGATAGAAGTATTATACAGTTACATAATATAACTTTACTTCTAATTATCCAGTAATTAATAATGATTTTATAAAGAAATGAAGTTAGTAAAAAATCGTTTAGTATCATTTTTTTCTCACTTCAATTTTTATATTCTTAGATGAAACTTCAGCATTAAATACATTAGTAATCAATGTTTTAAAATATCTTAAATAATTATTATTTTGGCATAGCAATTAATTTTTAAGCCTATTTAACAAACTTATATATAGTTTAGAATATGTCACTAAGATTATTCAATACTTCAGAGCAATATTTCTACTGCATCTCTGTCAACTGAATGGTAAGAGAGAAGTATAATATTTTAAGCGATTGATTAATCTTCGTAATCTTGATACTTATTACTATTAAGATACCTTGAAACGATCAGATTTTGTCGTAATTGGTTTACCATTTGTGTCCAGCCATTGCACATCTGGATTTGGCTTACCTGAAAAAGGATTATCAGTAGTGAAAGATAACAATATATCCAGCATGCTCAAAATGTCTGATAAGTTAGAAACAATTAATATAAATTGTATCATCTACTGTTTTCAATTTATCCTCACGTCCCTATTTCTTCCATTAGATTTTGATATAAGAAAAATTTTTTCCAACTCATAAAAATTCACTTCATTTGTCAGTAAATTAGAGACAGGTGTTCCTTAATAAGTTCCACATTCAAACGAATCACTATTTCAAACTACAATGACAAAAATCATAGAATAATTGCTCGAAGTACCACCAGATGTCACCTTACTTACTATTTGTACTGCTTAATTAATTGAAAATATTATTAAAATTTATTCAAGATTGAAAATTTTCAATTTGCTTAGTAGATAAAAATTACTGAGTAACAAAAGATGCAAAATTTTAAAATATTTTACTACCCCAAAATCATTAATCGATACCTACCCAATATGACAACTAATTTACCTGTAATATAGTAATATAGAATTTTCATTTAATTAATAAATATTAATGAATTTTTCATTAAATAATTTTTATTAATATTTTATTTCCTTATTCATATTTCTTCTTTATATATGCTACTTTTCTTCCTTCGATTCAAATTTTTTCGTATAAATGACAGCTGAAATTATATATTCCATCATATCACATATATGAATTAAAAAAGGAAAATTCCATAAAGCTGCCGCTAATTTCACACTTTTCATTTCATTTCGTAACAAATTTTACAGGTACTAATTTATCATTAAATAGACATATTTTATTTTCCTCCTCTCCCCAAAAAATATTATTATTATTTATTTTATATTCCATATCTTACAAACGAAAGCATAATATATTATAATATATAATTCATTGAAAAATAATTTCTGGTTGCTAGCACAAATAGTAATTATATCAAGGGAAAATTTCTGCCAATAAAGAATTCACTTAAATATAATATCTTCACCATTTGCCATCAAAAATACAATCAATAATAAGCCAACCAATTTATCCGTTAGAAATTCAAATTCAATTTCAATTTCAAATTGTTCCCTTCGAAACATAACAATTTTTAATTCTGTTGTTTGTTTGCTTTTTCCTTTTTGATATTATATTTTAACTTTTTGATTTTGTTTAGAAACTTTATAAGTAAAGAAATGTTATTTCATCTTACTCTATCATTCCTAATCTTCTGAATTATATTCAGAATTATATTCATATTCATGATTGTATCCTTGTAGTATATAATAAAGGTAAATCAAAACGGTAAGTTTGTACCGTTTCTCTCATTCCTAATCTTCTGAATTATATTCATAATTGAATCTTTGTAGTATTTAATAAAGGTGAATCAAAAAGGTAAGTCTGTAACCGTATCATTTTAATCGTTTATTTATTAGCATTTATCATTGATAACTATTTATCATTTAATTTCTGAAATCATTTCACTTTGAAAATATTAAATTAAAATAAATATTTGAAGATCACAAAAAATACATTATAGAAATTGCTGTTTTTCCTTTAATACATTTTACTAATATCTAATCTTTATGAACTTTCAAAGAATTTCATCATATTTGCATAATTTCAGATTTTTAGGGTTTCCTAATAAATTGTGTATTTTTCATTCAACTGAATTATATATACATATAATATCTTATATATTATATTTGTAACATCGTCATAAATCATAGATCGAAGATACCGAACTTTATATAAAACTTGTGATCTTGTAATTACAATAGTAAAGCATGAAATTCACTTTCATTGATATGCAGTTTTCTAATTTAAATGTTGAATTTAACTTATTTTTATAACTGGACTTTCTTCCGATGAAATTATCGAACAGAGAATGAAATAATTCTTCATCAATTTTAATTTTATAAATATATGCTTTGATAATTCCATACGTAAAGGAATTGTTGACTGTTTTTATTTCTTCTATAAGTTTCACCTCAAATTTAGAATAATGAAAGGATAATTGTGATATAAACAACTAAGCCCTAAATTCTATCCTTTCTTCTCCTATAATAATACTTTCTATTTTTGCTCAATTATCAAAATATGAAAACTGCAGGATAATTTAAGTTTCAGAATTGAACAGGAACAAAAATTGAAATAGAACGTTCTGTGAGATAACAAGATTAGCCTATCGCCAACATTTTATCATGCGCGTTGCTAAGTAAGTATTATATTTCATCATATATAACATATGATTTCGACATCTATTAAAATATCTTCTCAAATGTTTTAAAATAAAAATGAAATTTTCTTAATTTGTTAGATTCTCTGATTAACTATAATAAAGGAGAAAGAAAAGGATTGAAACAAGTCTGAATAAAATTCAGAAAAATTTTAACAACCAGGGCAATTTGACGTTAGTACTGATAGCACAGTAAACTTTACCTTTGTTGTTAAGCTATAAAAAATCGTTATTTATAATCATTATTTAAAAATTAAAAATCATTATTTAAAAAAAATTTTTTTGGAATGATTTCTTAATTCTAGTAAATTTAGACATCTGATTGTGTTCAAATGCTATATTTTTATATTTGAAAAGTTCATATTGATTTCTATTTTTTTAAAAATAAATTACCGAAATAATTGCAACAATTATATTCGATGAATTTAGATTCTAACTTTAAAGAATATAAGCTATATTTCTTACTATTTTTTTGTCTCTGCGAAAAACGAAGCTAATATTTTTGTTCAAATTCTTTAAATTTTTCGAATGATTGCTTTGAATTTAAATAAAAGATATATTTGAGAAAATTACATTCTTTACCTAAAAAATTATGGAATTTGAGGAAAAGCATAAAATTTTTAAATTATTGTAAACGTGCACTATACAAATATCTCAAAACTTTCAGTCTGTTCTGAAAACCTGTCCTAAGGGACGGATAGCTACTATCATAGAGTGTAATCAATATATTAATTTTTCTCCTAATTAAATCATCACTTCATATTATTACATTTGCTGACAGTTCAGCCATCTGTAAATACATACTAAAAAACCGGAAAACTTAATTAATAACAAAAGCCTTCATATTTTAGATGAAATTCTCTAAATTAGAAAGAGAATGTGAAATAACACCTACTAAAAACCCTATCAGCATATTTATCTTTGCATTCTAAATCATAAGAAAGTTTCTTTAATCATTAAAAGTTTAAATTAATTCGAAATTTTAAACTTTCTTTTTTAATTTCATAATTTCATTCCCTCTTTTCAGTAAGATAAAATAGATTCAAATAATAACGAATTTAAATTTCGAACGACTTAAATATATGATGCATTTTTTAACAAATAACGATGGTATTTTTTATAATCATTCTTAACTTTAGTTTTGATGACATATCCTTAACTTGGATTCTCACTATCCTAATATTATCATTAAAATAGCATTTATAAAAAGAAAACAAATTAATAAGTAACAATTGATTACTTAAAACAATAACAATTAATGTAAAAAAAGTTCCGAAGATTTTAAAAAATCTCTTAAATAAAAATTCAGAAACTTTTTATCAAAAAATCTCCTTTCATCTTTGCTTTTTCATTTCATTTCATTTGTTACAAGAAAGCGTGATTATTAATGTGGTGGTCATTGATGATTACTCAATGACTATTGATATGGTCACCATTGAATGATTATTGATCACTACTGAATGATTATTGATATGGTCACCATTAAATGATTATTGATATGGTCATTTTTGGTTTCTTTTCTTATATTTGTTAATGAAATTTCTTCAGAAAGAATGAATGCATTATTGTTTTATTCTCTTCCATCACATAACTTGATGATTTCTGTTTCATTAAGTGTGTGTCATTAATTTTTTGACATTTTCATCTTCATCTAGCTAAATTAATTTAAGTAATTTAGCAAACTTCTCATCTCAAATTTTACTTCAATTTTTCTAACCGAATTATGAGTGAGTCATGCTTTGGAATATGGTAAAATGCAACGCTAACGAATTTCCTGATAATTCTAACGAATTTCCTGAAAATTCCTCTCTAATAGAGGAACATACTATTATAACATATTATTTGTAACGTACGTGTAATCTTATCCTTTAATGCTAACTCTGATAAATAATCATTACTTAAAAATATCAAATAAGTTAAGTATTTTTACATCCTTTTTCCTCCCACACAAATATTCTGTCTTTTACTTTCTCCCAAATAATTCATATTTGAAATCTTTGATCTATATCTATTAATCAATTCAAATTTACATTATTATTATAGATTATTCATTTCATATTAATATAAAATTCCAAGATATATTTATTGAAAAAAATTTTTTTTTTTGCTTTAAGATAAATGCTAACAAACTAACTCAGTAATTGAATTTTTGATGTAAGAGTTTTTTGTTTATCCTAAAAATAGGAAAAATAGAGATGGAGAAAATGAATGTTACTGCTAGAAGATTAAGAGAAGAAGGTATAAATATACATATATAAAAGCATCATCACAATTCCAAAATGAAAAAGAACAGAAAAATTAATTACGGTGATAAATACCGTAGGGAAATGAAATGATATAGAAGCTTGAGAATGGTTGAATGTAAAAATGATGATAGGAATGAAAAGGAGGGTAAATCGTTTACTCTTTATTTCTCTTAGCTTCTTTTTTTGCATTTATTGCAAAATTCAAATTTTTAATTCAGATTTAACTTTCATAGCTAATATTCATTAATACGCTGTAAACGTGCATTTTATAACACTTATTCTTTCTATTTCAGGAAATCTTTCCTAAAAAACAAAAAACAAAAAATCGCAAAAAAGAAAAAAAATACTCATACGTGCAAAAACAAAAAAATTACGAATTTTATAAATATTAAAAAAAGAATTTTAAAATACAATTAAATTTGAATTATGCGGAATTTAGCAATAATGCATGCTGCAGTATATTTATCATATCTACTTAGAGATTATCGATCCCCGCAAAAATATTCTATTAATAATGAATACAGGACGAAGTGCTCCGTTGGGTAAGCTTCTTGTTCTTTTTTTCAGAAGAAAAAGAAGGCAGTATTTTTATTTTTGT